AATAATTACTTAATATTATTAAAGACAACAAAAATAATGTTGAAACTAATTAGATAAGTATTAATTAAAAATCTTGGCCAAAAATTAAATAATTAAAAAAAATAAATTTGTCAATAAAATTAAAAAAATTTAATTTGTTAACGGTTTCATACAAAAAACTATCTTATATAGCTTTTTCATTTCATTACCATTTTGGACCTTAATCAATATTTATTAGTTTCAAACCGTTAAATAAAAAATTTAACAAACACATAATTTGTAATAGTTTCAAAATAAATAAATTTATCAAATATCTATTATTAACAGTTTGGATATAATCACTAATTGATAGCTTCAAACTAGGATATCGAATGGTCCTTCATTTTTCTTTTTTTTAATCTTAAAAAAAAAAATCTATACTCTTCTTAGGTTTTTAATTAAAGTTATGCGGTAATTGATTAATTTAAATTTAAAAACTTGCTCTTCCTTCTTTAATTACCATTTTCAACCCAATTTCTATTACTTCCCATTTTAATCAATAATATTACACTAATAGATTATACGTATATATCTTTCCCCTTCATAATTTTCCTCCATTTTTGTTAGATGAAATTTTATGTTCACTAACTGATATAGAAAGCAAGCTGTGAGCCAAAACCAGTAAATTAATGTAGGCAGGCACGGGTAACTTCATGGAATAAAGGATAAAATTGACAGGATAATAGGGTATGAAAACGGTGGAATTTGGATCAAAAATTGTATTAAAGAAGAAATAGACAGTTTGTAAATTTAGATTAATTTGAGAAACAGGGAATCCAGATGGATTATGGAAGTTAGGCTTAAATTTTTATTAAGGACATATTAGTCACGTAGAAAATGTAGAGAATTCCCCAATTAAACCCCTTATGAAAAATACTAGTTTTTAGATATTTCAAAAATAATATTGTTATACCAAGGATAGCTCAACGGTTAACAATATATAAGATTTTAAATCGGAGATCTCATATTCAAATTTTAAATCAAGTGATGAAAGATTTAAAAAAAAAATGAAGGTCATCTTCTTTTATATAATTTATCATCATTAGATGCATAAAAATACATATAATTACAATATTATGTGATATTGTTACTTTACAATCATAACATATTATTATATGATTTATGATTTTTATTCAAGGAATTACATAGTATTAAATACATTTATTTGTTTAATAATATTATTATAAATTTATAATTTTATATAATATTATAACTAATATTTTTATTATATATACTTCCTTAAATATCTTTTAACATGTGTTCCTGCCATACCAATACAAAAATTCTATATTCAATTATAAAAAGGTTATTTTTACAATGAATTTATAATTTTATCTAACGTTATAAATATACAATTATTAATAAAATTATTATAAAATAAGAT